GATTCATCACCTTGATGTAAGCTACGGCCGCTATTACTTTGAAGGAAGCACCTGCAAATATACAGAGTTCTTTTTTTGATGCACCTGCTGTAGAGAAGGGTGTGTAGCTGCACGGTACCTGAAGCCCTTCCAGGTCTTGAAGCAACTGTTTCCATCTAGTCCACTGAGCCTCCTTGATTTTGGGAAGAGGTGCATCCCAGTCCTCTGCTTGCATGGTAAGTTCCCTGAGTATCAGTCTTGCATGAACTGTAATTGGCTCAAGGAACCCCAATGGATCATAGAGGCTATTTACGGTCGAGAGTACGCCCCTGTGTGTAAATGGCTTTTGGTCGTCTTCGATCTGAAACATGAAGGTGTCTGTGCACATGTTACAGGACAGCCCAAGGCTGCGTTGGATAGGCAGGTTTTCCACAAAAAAAGCTTACAGTTGAAATTCTTGGCACAATCTTCAGGTGGGAAAGCTTCAACAACCGTAGTTCAATTGGAAGTGATTTTGTGCTGCCTAATGTTGGATGCTGCAGGCATTGTTTGTGCTCGTCCAAGGACACTGAAGGCTTCTTCCTCAGTTGAAAAGGACTTTAAAGCGTTGTCAACATAGAACTCACGTTTGAGGAAATGTCTTGCATTGGCCTCGTAGTCAGCTTCTGCTTCCCTAGCAGCACATCATAGACAGTACACTGCGACAGATAGTGAAGGGCTGTTCCCGAAAAGGTGAACCCGCATTTTGTATTCCACAATGTCTGAAGTTGGGTCATTGTTCTTTTACAACAGAAAGCACAAGAAGTTGCGGTGGTCTTCTTTTACAACAGAACACTAAACAGTAATGGGCTCGACACACGGGAGGCGACATCGCCTTTCCTCCATTCATTTTCAATGAGACATGCGCAACAAAGCAATAATCGCGGGTCTCCCTCCTACCAAGCGAAACGCGAAAAACGTGCGTGTGAAATTCTGCGCTCGTGCACGTGTCGTGCACAGGCGAACCAGCGACGCGATCCCAGAAAGTTGAAACATTTTCAACTTTTCATCGCTGTCGCTCGGACGAGGACCAACCAACGGAGGTTTCATTCACTGACCAATGAGCGGACAGGATGCTCCGTACATCTCCGAGCAAACATGGAGGAGAAGTTGATTATTATTATGTTTTAAAGTAAAATCAGAAGTAAGATTTCACATAACTCTAGCAGCACCTTGTGAAACATCATATCTACCGCTTTATTAACTCTGAACCGCTTAAATAACCTTAATTCCCTCCAACCTGACACAGCCAATCAGAACAACGGAAGTTTCGATTTCGCTGCGGAACAGAACGCGTAGACGGCTTTGCCGCTGGCTGCTGCCGTGGATTGCCTCCCGTGTGTCAGGTAATAACAGCGACAGCGACAAATTTAGTTGATCGCGGTCGTTTGTCGCCTCCCGTGTGTCAAGCCCATAAAACATGTGCTCGATGTCTGCGCCTATCGCTACTCATTCCTTTCTGGACCATAAGACAACACAAAGCAGGCTGTTGTTAAGGTCAAGGCCAGTGAGCAAGACATCATTGAGCAGCACTCCTTCACATGATGTACTGCTGTCGAAGACCACATGGATTTTATCGGCTTCTTAGGATGATACACACAGAGCAGCTCTGTGGGATTCTGCAGCACCTCTTCAACCTCAGCCTGGCCCAGCAGAAGGTTCCAGTCCTGTGGAAGACATCCTGCCTTGTTCCAGTTCCAAAGAAAACTCACCCATCAGTCAATGATGACTACAGACCGGTTGCCCTGACATCCCACCTGTTGGTCCACCTGAATAAGCAAACTAGAACATATCAGGACCCGCTGCAGTTTGCTTATCGCCATGGAGATGGAGTTGAAGATGCCATCATCCAGCTGCTTTAACCAACCCAATGTCATCTGGACAAAGCAGGCAGCACTGTGAGGGTCATGTTCTTTGATTTCTCTAGTGCATTTAACACAATCCAGCCTGATGTACTTTGCCAGAAACTCCAGAAGACACAGGTGGGGGCCTCAACTATCGCCTGGATTAAAGACTACCTGACAAACAGACCACAGTTTGTGAGGCTGAAGAACTGCACATCAAACCAAGTGATCAGTAACATTGGAGCACCACAGGGGGCTGTACTCTCACCATTCCTTTTCACCCTGTACACCTCAGACGTCCAGTACAAATCAGAGACCTGTCATCTACAGAAATACTCAGATAACTCTGCAGTTGTCGGGTGTATCAGAGATGGACAGGAAGCTGAGTACAGAGAGCTGGTGGAGCGCTTTGTGGCATGGTGTGGAAACAATCATCTGACCTTGAACGTGAACCAAACAAAGGAGATGATTTTAGACTTCAGAAGAAACAGGGTGGAGTCAAACACTGCTTCCATCATGGGAGAGGAAGTGGAGGTGGTTGAGGAATACAAACACCTTGGAGTTCACCTGGACAACAGACTGGACTGGAGAAAGAACAGCGAAGCCGTTTACTAGAAGGGACACAGCAGACTGCACTTCTTGAGGACGCTTAGGTCCTTCAATGTCTGTAGCAAGATGCTGCAGATCTTCTACAAGTCTGTTGTTGAGAGTGTAATCTCTTCAGCCATCGTCTGTTGGGGTAGCAGCATCAGAAGCAGGGACCTGAAAAGGCTCAACAGCCTAATAACAAAGGCTGGTTCTGTTCTGGGGACGACTGTGGAACCGCTGGAGGAGATAATGCAAAGAAGGATTCTCCAGAGAATCAAGAGAATGATGGACAACCCTGAGCATTCTCTTCACAAGACTGTCCGACAACGGAAGAGTGTCTTCAGTCAGAGGCTTCTTCAGTTTGGCTGCAACACTGACCGCTACTGGAGATCCTTCCTGCCAACAGCCATTGTAATATACAACACCTCTTTGATGACTTGATTATTATTATTATTATTCTGAGCTACTACAGCAATCAGTTTCCCTCTGGGAGTAATAAAGTATTTTTGAATTGAATTGAATTGAATTGAAAAGAGGCAGGCACCAGCACTCTTGCCCCGGTCCCTGTGGTGAAGCCACTTTGGCATGGGCCTTCTTAAACATCTTTTCCATAAACTCCAGGAAGTCGGCTTTTATTCGAGGGTTTTTCTCCAGAGAGTGGTGGAGAGAGACAAGTCAGTCATAGGCCTTTTTCCTGTTGTCAGGCAAGCGCCGTCTCTGTGATCTAAAAGGTAAAGGTGCGACCCAACTTTTAGAGCTGTTTTGAAAGCATCCTTCTTCCATTATCTTCATGATCATCCCGCTGTGGATTGTTTGAGTTTGTGAGACAATGAGAAGCCCTCAGACATCTTCAGCGACTCGGCTGCAGTGGACTGATGACGTTTAGTGCGGTACTGGCGACGTCAGCTGTTAGCCAGAAGCAATAGGTGATTCAAATTCACTGTAGAGCAGAGTTTTAACTGGAAGGAGACACATTAATGACGGTTTTAGGAAGAATTTTTACATTTGAAATAAGATGCACAAAATAATGACTACTTGTGTTTACATCGCTATTAGCGCATCCCACCCATTCTGAAAACACTGCATTGGTTGCCCGTTCGGTTCAGGATCTACTACTTGCATTCAAATGTGTGACCCTTCAGGCCCCTCCCTATCTGAGCGACCTCCTCCATTTCTACCATCCCTCTCGTGCTCTTAGGTCTGCAGGTCAACTCGTCCTCACCGTCCCTAAGGCATGTTTGAGGACTCGCGGGGGAACGGGCTTTTTGTATCTGTGCCCCCAAACTTTGGAATTCCCTACCCCTTCCGGTTAGATGAGCACCCTCGCTTCCCGTCTTTAAACCGAGGCTGAAAACACGTTACTTCTCCATGGCCTTCGAGTCTTAGCATCAACAGTTTGTCACACCTCCTTTCACTGTGGTCTTCCCTTCTTAAATCTGTGGTCTGACTACTTTTAATATTTTGATTGTTTTTGTTTGTAATCGTTCCTTGTTGTATTCTTTTTTCATTGTTTTTATGACGTAACTTTTAAACTTTAGTCTCATTTTGTACACTTGGAAGTGCTTTTATAAATTAAATGGTATTAGACACTCATTTATACAGTTCATCGATATCTTTAAGAACAGGGGCAGCTTCCTCTGCCGCTGTGAGGCTGTTCAGACTTCCCAGTTCCTCTGCCTGTGTCACTCATGGACATTTCATGTAATTAAAAACAAGAAAATGGATTTGTTTTATAGACTTTAGAGACTACTTGTATTTTTGTGTCCCATCATGTCTTTGGGCTGATACTGGGACCAGGGAAACAAACTTTGTTCCACCTCAGGTCTGTCATGTGATCAAAGGAAAATCATAAATCCTTGAGATGTCCATCAGAATTCCACGTGAATACCATCTAAACTCCCAAGTGTTAACAGAGCGTTTGTTGGCCTTGGCCGTCAGCTGTTATCCGGACAAATGGATTAAATCCCTCTTTTCCTATGGCTGCAGGTTTATTTTCAAAACAGCGTCACCAAGCCATCTTCCTGCTGATGGGTGGGAACTTCTTGTTGTTTTAGAGGAATTGAGCTGACTTACTTTTTCTTAAACAGCATTTCTCCAAATTCCATCATTGCAACAGTATTGTTATGATTTCTGCCAGAGCTTCCTATTACCTGTGAGGGTTAGGGTTAGGAACAGGAAGTCTACACTCATTTGTAAATTCTGACATGTGCAGGTGTTTCAGTGGTTAGAGGACGGAAGAGCAGGCCGTCTGTTTGTCCTCTCACTGGATGAGTGCTCGGATCACCGCTCTGAACACACAGTGGTCCTCTGTGGTCACAGCCTCTTGACACTCGACACCATCAGTGTGTGTGTGTGTGTGTGTGTGTGTGTGTGTACATTATTGCAACGTGATCGCGAGAGAACAATGAGAAGTCAGTTTTCTGGACAAAGACACTCCGATCTGATCTGTCATGCTGTGGCTGTCTCCACTTATCTCATCTCCACTGTTAAAACACACACACACACACACAGTAAGGTGATTACTAGCTTTGTGTTTTGTGTCTGTTTCAGGCTAATGTTGGACATATGGACACGGCCAAGGACATGTGGAAGATGATCATGGGGAATCTGGCTCTCATCCAGGTAAAGAAAAGTGGCTACGTGGTTTCTGGTCTTTGACCCCCTGAACAAACTCCAGTTACATGGTTAGTGTGTGTGCCCCTGATGGCACTGGTGCACAAACTAGACCAAAACCTGTTTTCATGCCTCTTAACAATGTTTAACAGCGGGATGGGAACGTTTGGACAACCTTGTTAATCTTCATGATTTTAATAATCGTTTGTCACTGTAAAAAAATCTCAGTTAAATACATCATAAAGGAAACACACAGAGATATTTGAGAAGTGAAACAAAGTTCATGGGATTGACAGAAAGTGTGAAATAATTGTTCAAACTAAGACCCTGTCCACACGTAGCCGGGGATCTGCCAAAACGTAGATATTTTTCTACGTTTTGGCCTGTCGTCCACACGAAAACGGAGTTTTTTCACACGAAAACGGATCTTTTTAAAAACTCCGGCCAAAGTGAAGATCTGCGTTTTCTCCGTTTTGGGTGTCTGCGTGTGGACAGAGAAAACCGGAGTTTTAAGGTCCGCAACGTCACTTTCCGCGACAAAAAATGCTGACATCACGTGTGCGACCTGTGTTTACACTAGCCGGCATCATGGAAGTCCTCAGAGCTGCGCTCTGTCACTACCCGATCCATCAACTGTCCAAGCGCTTTCTGCTTGTTTGTTTTTGCAAGCGGAATTACTGCTCCTTGCGGAAGACCACAGACGAAGGACGAGGTTAAGAACGGGGGAAGTACTGCCGCCTACAGGTCTGGCATGTCCATAACAACGTATTTATCCGGGTACGTGTGGACAGAGTTTGTTTTTAAAACGCGGTGGTGTGGATGCAAGTTTTTGGAGGGGCGGATATTCGTTTTTAAAAAACCCCGGCTACGTGTGGACTAGGCCTAACTTAGGCAGGTGCATATGTTTGCAGGGGCGGATTTAGCTATTTGGGGGCCCAAGGTGAACACAGACATGGGGCCCCTTACACTAAATGTTCGACAGTCTTACCTTTAACTGGATTTGCGAAACTCTCCCCTCTTTTGACACGAGTTATTATCCCTTTATATTAGTCCTCCTCTTTTTTCCTGTATTTCCCTTTGAGTGCCTTCAATATTTGCTCTGCTTTCTTCTTCCTGTCAGCGCTCCTATGCTTTTGCCTTTGTTTTTTTTGTTTTTTTCTATTTTCCATTTTGGTCTGTTTTCCTCCCTTTAAACATTTTCCATTGTCTTTCCTTTCTGCTTCCTTTTGATGTTTACATCGATAAACAACGTCACTTTCAGACGTGAAGATAAAAGCTTTTATGAAGCATGCTGCTTCTTTCTCTTATTGGAGCCACTAGGATAACTTCATGTCATGCTTCATGTTTTGACTATCGCTTTGAGTTTGTTACGAACGCTGCCGCCTCTCTTCTTCTTCTTATTGTGGTCTCATGGCACTTGGCAAACAACAATTTGGTGCATTACCGCCACCAACTGGATTGGAGTGGAATGACTACCAATCACTTCCTGTTTGTGCATCGCCGTCTTAATAACCCTCTTATGACCATAATTATAACAGGGTCGCCTGGTATTTTTTTAATTTTATGGCTGTAAAATCGTTGGAAAGCTGCTTTTATGTACTTTTAGGAACCGCTGGAATTTCCTGGATCTGATCAGCCATTCAAAAGTTATAAAACGGAGCATTTTGGATGACAAACTCAGCACGTCTCTGAATCTGTGTTGTGATTCGTTGCGCTCAAGACAGGGAATCCCGGTGGCTACCGTAATGTATTGTATATGCACGAAAAGCCCCATTTTTAATCTTTTCAGCACTTTTGGAATTTTAATGATATCTTGAACGGTTCAGGAATTATGGTAATGAGAAGCATGTCCAATCCCGTCGGTGAGGACAGGTTGGTAATAAGAATATTGTGGCATTAACAGAGGGGTGCCTGCGGTCAGAGCTAGGGGGCCCCCCAACACAAGGGGCCCCAGGCGGCCCCCAACCTATGCCTAATGGTAAAACCCCACTGTATGTTTGGCCACCACAAAAGAATTGAACTCAGTATTTAGTAGATCCTCCTTTTGCAGAAACACTTCCTATAGCTTCCAGTCAGAGTCTGAATTCTGGTTGAAGGTACTTTGGACCATTCTTCTTTACCAAACATCTCCATTCAGGTCTGATGGCCTCTGACCATGGACAGCTCTCTCTAAAGCCTGAGTCATGCTTCTGCGTCTGCGTCAGCGCGGAGACACGCAATGCCATTATCCGTCCTTGCGGGCGTGCTGCAGAGCCCTGCAAGGACAGACAGAGTCGAGCTCTCTTTTCTAAACATCTGTCCATCGAGACGGACAACGCAAGCTTGTGATTGGTCAAGACGCCGCTGTCGTCTACACCGCCGCCATTGCGCCCTCAAAAACATAAAAGAGCCGAGGATAACTAGCGGCAGACACGGAGAAGCTTGAAGAATACCTCACGAAAAAACTCTAAAAACATGAACGTTAAATTCCCCGTGACTGGAGGAGTGAAAAGATGCGCAGCAAGCATTTTATTTGTGGACAGAAATGACAGGAAACGTGGGTTTAGAGGTGGGGAGCGCATGAAGAGGTGAAGGAGGATGAGAGACAAATATGTCCGTGTTAAAAAGTCTCTCATATACAAAAAACACAATATAAACCCACGATCTTGGACCGATACATGACAGGATACCACAGAACAGCGCTACGCCCTCTGCTGTCCTGGTGGGGAATTGCTTTGCAACACTCTCCAGGAGACGGAGAAGTCTGAGAGCAAAACGTCTCCGTCTGTCCGGGCGTGTCTGTCCCTTGCGGAGCTGACGGAGAAACATGAATCAGGCTTAACTCACGCCACAGATATTCAATAATATTCAGGTCTGGGGACTGAGGTGAACTTTCCAGAACATTCTACTTGTTCTTCTGCCTTGGTAGACTTTAAGCAGTGTTTAGGGTCGTTGTCTTGTTGAAAGCTCCAGCCCCGGTGCAGCTTCAGCTTTGTCGCTGATTCCTGGACATTGGTCTCCAGAATCTGCTGATATTGAGTGGAATCCATGCGTCCCTCAACTTTAACACGATTCCCAGTCCCTGCACTGGCCACACAGCCCACAGCATGACAGCACCACCACCATGTTTTACTGCAGGTAGCAGGTGTTTTTCTTGGAATGCTGCGTTCTTGTTCCTCCATGCATAACGCCCTTTGTTCTGCCCAATTACCTCAGTTTTAGATTCAGCAGTCCACAGCACCATATTAATGAAGCTGGCTTGTCCAGCTGTGCTCTAGCAGCAGCTGTTTGTGCTGTGGGTGGAGAAAAGGCCTCCTCTGCATCACTCTCACATGCAGCATCTCCTTGTGTAAAGTGCACCCAATAGTTGAACGATGCACAGTGACTCCATCTGCAGCAGGATGATGTTGAAGGTCTTTGGTGCTGCTCTGTGGGTTGACTGACTGTCCTCACCATTCTTCACTGAACTTGAACCGAGCCTGTGGTCTTCCATGTCCTCAGTATGTTCCTAACCGAGGGAACAGACAGGTGACCTCTCTGAGACAGCTCTCTGTGCCCTTCACCCTGAACCATGATGGAGAACAACCTTTGTTTTCAGCTCATGTGGGAGTTGTTCTGATGTTGCTGCTCCTCAGAGAGTAATCACAGAGGAGGGAAACTTACAACTGGCCTCTTAAATACACGTTCTCATAACTGGATTCACCTGTGTGTGGAGGTCAAGGGTCACTGAGCTTACCAAACCAATTCTGAGTTCCAATAATTCATTCTAAAGGTTCTGGAATCAATAAAATGACAACAGTGCCCAAACATATGCGCCTGCCTAGTTATTGCACACTTTCTGTAAATCCTGTAGACTTTGTTTCACTTCTCAAACATCGCTGTGTGTCTCCTTAATGATGTATTTAACTGTAAATATTTATCCTGACAACCAACGAGTCACACAGGAAAATCATGAAGGCTCACAAGGCCGTCCACACGTTCACATCCCGCTGGAACATCGTGTAGCTATAACCACACACAGTCTCACCGAACCGCCTCACTTCACTCATTAAATGGTAAAGGGGCGGTATTTGTACAACACCTAGGGTTCTACAGCCCCCCAAGGCGCTTCACAACACAGCCATTCACACGCTGGTGGGGATGAGCTACAGTGTAGCCACAGCTGCCCTAGGGCGTACTGACAGAGGCGAGTCTCCGTACACAGGCGCCACCGGTCCCTCCGACCACCACCAGCTGGCAAGGCGGGTTAAGTGTCTTGCCCAAGGACACAACAGTAGCATTCTCTGGTTGGAGCCGGGATTGAACCTTCAACCTTCCGATTACTGGACAACCAGCTCTATCTCCTGAGCTCCTGCTGCCATCACACGCTCATGTATTTAGCAACAGAACAGCACTGGTGTGAGAGGTTCTCTGCTCAGTAACATCAGAGAAGGAGAAACAGCCGGATGCTACCGCTTCAGCTTCAGGACAAACTAGAGTCCCAAAAGGAAAAACACCGTTGAAGTCACAGACAACAAAAGACATTTGGACCCAAGAGAGCGACTGGTGTTTAGCGCTCTCTCATTTCATTCGACATTGCGGGTCTCCAGTTCCGGCAGGAGACCCGAGCAAGAGTGAGAGTTCTGTGTTTGTGTTCAAACCCTAGCTTGTTTTGTAGATTAGCTATAACAGCTTTAAGTTTCAGACCAAAACTTTGTGCTTTTGTAAAAGTGTCTTTAGATGGAACAGACTCTGGTGGACGTTTCTCAGGTACCACTCAGCTAATGAATCCCTCCACACATGAAAGGCCGATGACAAACTACAGAGATGCCTTTGATCATGTGTCTTTGATGCTAGCAACAGAGACTGTTTAGTTACCGTTCACAACAGGGAATTTATTAAATATTTATACGTAACAGGCTTCAGAATGACTGCAAACCCTTTCAAAGTTGCTGATTTGTTTTAAAATCTTGGACAAAACCAAATAAAAAAGACACATCTGCAAACATCTGTCATGATATTTAAACACTGACAGATTTAATGATGGAGTT